ATCGGTAAAGTTTCTTCGGTAAGAATTTTTCGGAAAATTAACTAACGAACGGAGACGTAACAATATAAAAAAAAAGTTTCCATTAGTCATATTTGTATTTATTTTTCTGAAATGCAGAGAACACTAGGTACTCATATAAGAATTAATTTCATTGGATGCTCTTGGTGGCTACTCACTGAACTTAAGTTTATATGTATCCCTACATGCACTCACTTGGAATCATTGAAAGAATTGTGATAGATCGTTAGAAATGAGTTAATAATATAAACATTTCCTAAGTATAAAGCTTCTATAGTATATTACATTAAAATATATATATATTTTCATTGATGCAATAAACAAGTCAAGACATATGAAGACATTATTGATTATTCTTCATATCTGGTTTAAAAAATTCTTTATTAAAAATTTGTATTGAAATAAACTAATTTTTCCATGTTTTGTTGAGATTTTTCTTTTTAATGATCACTTAACTGTTTCAGAGGAGACCCCTCTACATATCTCATTTTACAAAAAAAGTGTACTAACTTTTTCAATTGAAAGGTACTTGTGCAAAATATTAAGCTCGCTAAATCACTGAACAAGTTCTATAACAAATCATGTGACATTAGAGGTAAATAAACCTGCATAAATTCATGTGTGATAGTGAGGATAGTTGTTTTCTTGGGACTGGTAGCTCAGTTGGTAAAAGCACTAATGTCAGAGAACTTACTTGTGCAACACCTCAACCCGAGGTTGTCACAAATTTATACTATGGTTGCAAAGCAGAATTAAATTTCATTTATATCCTCTCATTCAATTAGAAAATCTACTTTACAGATGTCTTTTGGTAATTATAAAAGGGTATGGACCAAAAAATGATTAGAATGAAGCTGCCTAAACTGTGGCATGATTGAACCCCTGGTTCACATATGTGATCTGAAATTAATGGTCTAATGCATTAACTTAGCCACTAGGGCTCAAGTATGAAATGGACAACTTTCTATCCGAATAATTACATCATGATTTAATTGTTTGTTAAAATATAGGAACTGTTTAGTTTACCCGTGTCCATAAATAAATTCGACGCTGGAAGTATGCGCGCTGGAGTTTCTAGAAGGATTATGAATTTTCCCGGCAACTCTAGTTTGTTCGAGGCGCCCCCTTTTTTTAGTATATAACCTGGCGAGAAAAACCAGCGCAATCGGGCAGATAGATAATTGAGTCAAACCAACAGTAGGCACCGTAAGGAAAGTGTGTGAATCACTGTGACTTATAGTGTGTGTTATAAAGGTTATCAAGTTTAAAGTGACTGTGGAAATTCTGTGTATTACAAAAAGTTGTATCGAGAAAGAATAAATTAGTTTTAATAAAGAAAGGACTTGTATCGCTGAAGTTTCTCAGAAATAATTTTTACGGGAAATTAACAAACAAGTAGATAGGTAACAATATTATGTGTTAGTAGGCTCATTGCTATAGCTAATACTTGGTATATGTACATATTGGGTCAAAACAAAATAAAAATTTGATTCAATGCGTGTACAAAAATTTTGAAATGGAATATCTATCAAGTTTGTTTGAGGAACCTTAACCACAAATCCTTTTCAGGCTTGTAACATATATAATTAGGATCAGTTAATTAATACACATAGACATTAGTCTTTAGTTTCGATATAACTCAAGTTCAGAAAATAACTACAAGTAACCTTTTCAACAGGGGTTTATAAATCCTTTATTTTCAACTTGGCTATTCCAACAATAAGTACAAAAATTGTCAGACGGAGCTAACATCCAGGCTAAGTATAAATCTGGAAGCTTGGTAAATATGTATAACAGTACATTAACTTTCTTTATCTGCTGAGTTTCAGTAGATTTTGGACAAAACTCGGCAGGTTAATCATGCAATTGATCATTGAAAATGTCACTGTTAAACCTGTTGATCTACTTCACACAAATACAATAAAAAATAATAAATACAGTGTAATTCACTAACTGAAAGTTTTTATATAGTCAAATTAATTAGATCAATAATATTAAATTGATATTTTAGAAACAACATCTGCAAGTGTATATTGATGAATGGTTGTGCAACAACTCAGCCCAAGGTTGTCACAAGCTAAAAACTATGGTTGCAAAGCAGAATTATATTTCACATGTATCTTCTCAATCAATTAGAAAACACTTTAAAGATGACTTTTGGTAATTTTAAAAGAGTAAGGGTGTGGACCAAAAAGGTTTAGAATGAAATGGTTCATCTGAGCTATTATGGGAAACTGCTATTTCACGTTTTTATAAAAATTGGATTATTATTATGCAGTTATAAGATAAAAATAAGAAATTGTCACTTCAGTAAGATAGCTTGCATTGTAACTTTTAGTATTTGCTACCAATAACACTCGGTCTGAAGGGAACAAAAGCCACAATAACTAAAGAGATACAAAAAATATGTGGTAATAGGTACATTATGTCACATTGTCTGAAATTCATAAATTTAATAAAAGAAGGCAACACGAAATTACATCATGTAAAATGATATACAATCAACACAGAAAGATTGTATATAAACTTCTGGAAATCAGTGACAGGTCCTAAAACAGTCACACTTACTAATGATAAGAGGAGCAAATTACAATTTTCAGGCTATTTTGATAAAAAAATGGGTCCTCTTGCACCAATTAAAAGAAGTTATATCTTTAAGAGGGGGAAGGGAGGGATGTTCATAGAAGTTATACTACATATTAAAAAAAACATACTACAAGATTGGAGCAAAGTAAGTTATTAAACTCTGCAACACAGTAGTTGACTCCAAACTGTGATACCAGGAAAATAAATGGAAGTTAAGAATCTGATTTTAGTTGCTAACAAGTGGTCAAAATAGTTACAATAGAAGTATTGCTAAAAATGTTAACATGAAGTACAGAGTTATGGCATGAGTGAATATTATCCTTTGTGCTTTTCCAACAACAGTTGAGCTTTAAGAAATTTTCCTGACAATAATCTAGAATGCAGAGAGTAGGGAAAA